CCTTGACCTGACCTTCGCTACGCAACCCAAGGTCAAACTGATGTGATCAGTAAATACATCTTTTTAAACGCCACAACTTTTGTCTGAAACATTTTTTTGTAAAACTTATATTTTTCCTGATATTCGGGCGTCCCGGTACTTTCCGAACACCCTGTATATATATATATATATAATTCATTGTAATTTTATACATAACTTGACACTTGACATCGTCAATTATCAATGTATATCATCGTGATCAAGCAATAAAATTTAATCAGTTGTTTACAAAAATGTCTTGTTTGTCCATATGGAATATTAAATGTCATAGTTAATATATATTGATATTTCTATTATATATATATATATATATATATATATATATATATATATATATATATATATATATATATATATATTATGTACGCTGTAAAACTGCGGTGAAATTTATAATAACGCATAAGTAAAGAATATGGTTTTGTAATCATAATGAACATTTTTTAGATACAAGAAATTAGCCAAAATGAATAAATAACTAACAAACATTGCGACATTGCATATATTTTGTGTTTCATTAATATAGATGACAGAGACCGAATTTCTATTTCAACTGCTTGTGAAATTTAGTAAGACAATTTCTTTGTGGCGCTCCTATCAAAATTAAGATCAGTGACATTTCTTATAAAAATTAACTGTGATAAAGAAAGTGACGAGAAAGAAACGAATATAATCTAATCGATAATAAACGAATAATAATATAATCTTCACATCCACCTGAATTTACTTGTGAAATGCTGCTACTACGTATATTATGTATTAGGTGTTCCGGTTAGTTTTGAGGGATTTTGTGCAAAAAGGAAACACTTATATTTTAAAGAGACATTAAATTATTTTAATCAAAATATTTTCCACCGTTAGCTACGAGTTTTTCTGGTAATAAGTGGATTTCGCGGTAAAAGAAATGTTCGTCTTTCGAAATAATCCATTCATCGAGTCATTTCTATATTGCACCATATGTTTTGAAGTGCTGGTCAGTAAGACAGTGCTGTATCGATCAAAATAAGTAATAATCTGAAGGAGCACAGTCTGGTGAATACGCGGTGTGTGGTAAGACTTTCCATTGAAATTTCGATAACGTATCTTTAACTGCTTTTGCAACGTGTAGTCCAGCATTGTCGTGCAACAAAATCACGTTGCGTTTTCTTTGAACTGTTATTGGACATTTCTGGTTCAAACCAAGATTCAAATTGATTAATTGTTGTTGATAAAGCTTAGCAGTGACTGTTTGATTCGGTTTCAGCAACTCATAATACACGATGCCCTTTATGTCTCACCAAATGCACAACAAAACCTTACTTCCATGGATATTGCGTTTTGGAGTCGATGTCGACAGTTGGCCTGGATCTACCCACGATCTTTTACGCTTAGGATTATCATAGTATATCCATTTTTCATCGTCAGTTACAATTTAATACAAAAATTGTTTCTCCTTGTGACGAGAAAGTAATAAAGTGCAAATGGTTAAATGATTCTGAATAGCCAATTCAGACAATTCGTGTAGAACCCATTTGCCTTCTTTTTGAATCTTTTCCATTGCGTGTAAACGATCAGAAACGGTTGATTTACCAATATTTAATGTTGTAGCTAATTCTGTTTGAGCTGAGTTTTCATCCAACAATGTCTGCAATTCGATATCTTCGAACTTTTTTAGTTGATCTGAACGTTTTTTGTCTTTCAAATCAAAATCACCACTTTTAAATCGTCGATACTAGTACTCACACGTTTTAACTGATAGAGCAGATTCAGAATAAGTTTCTGAGATGAATCGGTGAGTTTTGGCAGCTGTTTTTTTTCGAATCAAAATAATAAAGTAATATATGTCGAAAATGCTCTTTATCATATTTCATGTTTAGTCGCACTAAACAGTGTGTTTATGTTTACGAATGCACAGGACATGTGTTAATTTGTTTGTAGAGATGTCCTAGCTTTGACATGACGTGCCCATTTTCAAAATGTTCCCAGCAGATTTGTAGCTATAACCATCTACAGTGAACCCTCAAAACTAACCGGAACACCTAATAATATTGTAAACAATTTCATAGCAGATACAACAAGATAATGCGGAAAACAGCAATAAATATTAACTATGACACGTATCTGGACAAGCAAACACATTCTTGCAAATGACTGTTTGGATTTTAATTCAATTGGAATTAAAACTTTATCTCGATAATATGCAATATTTCTTACGAGTCAGCACCGATGTGTACAAGGCTAACCAAAAAATCTTCAACCTTCGCTATTCTGTGTATAGACGCGGATTATCTACAATTAATTGTAAAGCACTCGTCAGGGCGCTCGCCAACTTTTGACACTTCTGCTCGGCTTTTATTAAATATCAAACTATATACGGCGATTTATTGTTTACTTATCAATTGTTTGTCAATTATTATGATTTTCTTTAAATCCCTACATACCTTAATCAATAATAAGGTGTACAAGCATTTATGTAAAAGAAAATATATAAGTAATATTTTATCAATTAATTTCTCTCGTAACATCCGTACGCAAAGGTACCGGTCGCTTTCAATCAATTTAAGGTAACCCGTGTCTGTATTCACGAATACCGAAGGTAAGGTATTCCCGGCCGGGTTCTCTCCGTTAGGTGCTGCCCTCTGGCAAGCGGCGTGACACGAAGCGGATTTCTAGCTCGCAGGCGCGTTTCCCGGCTCATCCTTTCTTCTGTCCAGCGTTTCCAGTCGGGACGCACTCCCTCCTCGTGACTCGCCGATGTTGGAACCGCTAGTTGCTGCTCTTTTCCCGCGCGCCCTTCACACCCGTCTCTCTCCCCTGATTTTCGCGAAACCAGTACGGCATTATTCAGCACTCGCGGCCGCTTTTCACCGTGGTCTCTCTCAGCCAACCAGTTTCCATTACCGGAGTAGACCAGCGGCCTCCCTGACCTACCGTTTCTCCGCGGCCGACGCTTGTTCCTGATCGTCTCCCAGTCTACCTGCTCCACTCCGCTATTCGCTCGTCAACGACCTTTTGTTCAGTCGTTCGACCGTCCACTCCGTCCGGCTTCTCTCCTCACCTCTCGTTTTATCCCCAGGTCTTATCCGAGCGGCGGCCCTGAACGATAAGAGCGTCAGTGTCAGGGTCAGTGTGCGAGTGGGGCGATCGCGAGAAACGCGACGGCGTGAGACGAGCGGAGAGAGCCGGGGAGTTCGGTGCGGTGCAGTGCGGGTGAGAAGAGGGTGGCATTCGTCTGTTGTCCGTCGTCCGATTGCCATCTGTTTTCACGAACAGTCTCGTCGTTCCCCGTTGTACCCGGACGATCATGTCCCTCATCGTCGACTGCTTCCGCCGTCTGACGGAGTCGCCGTGCAAAAATGAGGTATGCGACACGTGCTACTGCTTACTTCATACGATTAGTGTTATCAGTCCACACAGTGATAACGAAGTGCAGCCTTGAATTTTACTGACAACTTTCTGCCGCGCGGCGCTAAATCTTTCTTCAAATTCTTTTAATTTACATAGCTGTAATTGCCGAATTTTCACCGCGATATTGAGTCGTGTAAAACTTGAGTAGAAAAATCAAAGACTTTTGTGCTCCTCCTTCACGACTGAACGTCAGGAAATGGAAGTGTGGTAAAAGGTGGAGTTAGGTGGATGTAACGTGCTGGGAGGGGTGCACCGTTCGATATTACTGATGCAACGCGAGGAGAAAATTTTTCTGTAAATTGTTTTAAACGCAACGCGCCGATTTGAGGCCGACTCGTCTGTAGTCTGTTCTCAATTATTTAGCACGCTGAAACATTCATCTCTTACTTTTTAATAATCATTAATAGTCGTGTTTATTTTCTTAGTGGGGATGATAATATTTTTGCACGCACAACCGTACACACTCCAGCGTTCGCGCGCAATTTATCATTTCGTGTCATTAATCAATAAAATACGCATAATAATAGCACGCGCACACGGGAAGGACGGGAAGGGATCGTCGGCTTTCGACAGGAGTGGCTTTATTATTCATGACATTTGCATTTTGACGTGACATGTCGAGTGGTCGTGGCTGGACGCCATTGAATGTAAAATGTAGGTCACTCGAAGAAATTGTGACGCGCGCACCTTTGAAATCTGATGGCCTTGAACGTGGGGCTGAGTGCAATTACGCGGTTACTTGGTTTCGAGGTAACCCAATATTACGCGACGTGTCGCTCACTTATTGCAACTAGAGGAGAGCTTCTGCTCTCAGCTTGCCGCGATACTTCCGTCTCGATTCCATCGAGGTGTGTGGTTACTCTGATTTCAGGGATTCATCGCTCTCGACTGTTCGCTTTACCAACTTCATTTCATTTTATTCGCAAAATTTTCCTCACCCACGACCAAGTTTTGCCGCACCTGTTCATGTAACACAAAAGCTAAATTCTCCCCCGAGTCTCCTTTCAAATTAATGCATAAAGTTCGCCATCTTTTTCGCTGCACGTTCCTCTCGACCTGTTTTGCGATGTGAAAACAAAAACACCACAATAACAGTTGGTTTTTCGTATTGCGTAACTATGCGCAATTAATTTGCCACGGTGTGTGCGCGCGCGAATAACGGAGTACAGTAAGTAAATAAATACTCAGTAGAAATCAACAACAATGAAGCGCCCCAAACATGTCACTCAATATAACGCCAACAAAGTTGGGAATTAGCGAATGCGCGGGGTATAGTATTTAAATCGCACATTAAAATAAACGTCGTCGTTGCTCGTGCTAATTATTTAATTGCACATCAAGTGAAAATCGACGATAATACGCATCTCGTCGTATTTATGTAATAATTACCTCAACTTCACGGTAAAATCGCGTGCGTCCACATACAACTTCATACGATTCGTTTCAGCTCAGAGGCTATAAAGTGACGGATGTGAGCCGCACGCGAAAATTCGGCATCGCCTGTCGTAGTCTTCAGGAACTGAAGCGAAAGGCCTGCGCGAAATTGAATGTGAGTACCCGCTGACACGCTAAGTACACGTTCGACCACGCATTGTATTGTCTATACGCCGAACCTGCCTCGGATGATGATGCATCCATTCACTCGCTCGTTCGCGCACAGACCACATAGACGCGCGCGCCTGGCTGCGACAGGCGTCGTATGAATAATGTAACGAATTTTCACGCAATGTAGCGACCGTATACCATAACGTAACGAAATTTGCCACGTAAATACCGCGCGTTTGCATTCATCGGCTATTTCGCGAATGAATGCTTCGTCGTTCGGGAGAGCAGGTACATATGTGCACTTTTCAGCGCGCTCGGCCTCATCGTGTAACCAATGACGGGCTTTCCCTCGAACGGATCGTTAATCAATTAGCGCAGCTGTTAAGCATTCACATACGCGTGCACACGTGAGGAGAATATCGGCCTGAATATTGATATCCTCTCCGCTACACGAGAGAGCAGATTTCGAGAAGCGTAGCTCGAACATAATCCGCTTCCTTTGGTTTAGACTGTCCCAGCGTTATTTATGGAACATTCACAATACAGCGGCGAGAACAAAAATAAACGCGCACATTCAACGAGCGAGTCATTGCTGCTCGATTTACGATCATTCAATGCATTGTAGAGTCGCGCATTGAGAGAAGCGAGATAGTTCGGTGCATACGCACTAATCGAATCTCTCTCGCCTAGATTCGTTCGATTCGTGCCCGTTCGGTGCGTCTGTTCTTCCTCTGCATTGTGCAATCGACCCTGGAATAATTGGCACGCATTCTATTCTTAAATCATACACCTCAGGTCTTGTCGCCCTGACAGTACGAAAAGGCAATGACGATATCTGTCGAAAAAAAAGGAACCAGTTGCGAAAATAAGCGTACGACGAAAAGGGATCTCGATTATAGAGCGCGTCGCGATTTGCGAGAAGGATAATTCAAGTGGCGTCAAAACGATTCGTGTTTCCGTCTCGACTTTATCGCACAGATGCTACGCAATCGCCATGTAATTTTCCATAACGACAACGACTCTGGGTTGACGATGTAAGATAGTGTGCACAGAATATCGTGGAATAGCAAATATGCAAATTAAAACCAACGCGTGGCGTAGGTCATTTGTTGAGATACAGCGTCATCAAGGTAGACCATTCATTAAAACCATTCATAAGAGCCATTAAGCATGTTTAGAACCCAGTAACATATAATGAATAAAAACTCCGAATAATTTGCAAAAATTATCGTCATGCGTGAAACGTGCCATCGACATCTCTTTATTAACATGTGCGAGAACATACACACGTGTATATTTAACAATTACATCATTCGTATCGACCGTGTTGACATCGCGCGGGTTTATCAACAATTGGCCTTGATGCGAGAGAGGCCTGGAAGTGCGCGCGGTGCAGCCGATGGTAGCGTTTCGTCGGTAGGTAGGTTAATCCGGTTGCAGTGCGACCTTGGGATCAGCACGCGTCTGCCCGCAGTACTGGCTCTATCGAACCATCCGGGCCAGGGACAGCCAACATCTCAATGTCAAGGTCTCCGATCCACTTTCCGCGCCCCGACTTGGAAATCAATCTGAATATTTCTGTGCACCGGGTAGCGATATAAAACGACGTGGACTAGTGTGTTCTCGCATATTAAAGTCGACATATTCAGCTGCAGCGTCGCTGAAAGTCGGAAAACGCATTTTTCTGCGCTCGAGCAAGACCCGGAAGGTCGCATTCCTCAAATTTGTGTTATTATTTATTAGACTTGTTTTATTATTGATTAGATTTGTTTTATTATTGATTAGATTTAGATTAATTGTTGTCACTTGTTTATTTTAGATGAGATACTCAGATTTGAATTTGAGTCCGTATTTAACAGTTAAATATTCAGATCTTTATGCAGAGTTAGATTCAAGTTTTTCAGTTAAATAATAATACGTGCCACTCAAGATTTACGTGGCTGTTCGCAAAATGACAGAGAAGTTTTTTGTTCGACTTAATCTACTTGTATATCGCGGTTCGATAGCAAATTGTCAGATTCGCGATTATAATCGCGATTCAGCTGAAAAATTCCGCTGAAAAACGTCTAACTCTGAATTTAAATCTGACTATTTCACTTAAGACAAGTTTGAAGTAATAACTATTGATTACAGGCTTATGATGACGAGTTAGATGTGAGTTTTCAGTTAATTCAGCGATTACAAATTTAATATCGCGAATATATTATAATATATTATGATATATTAATATCATCTGAGTATCTCGCGTGAGACAAGTAATTTGATGTTTTGACCTATGACTGTATTAGCAGCATCTAGACTCTGCATTATAGTTAGAATACAGAAATTAATCATTCACTCGGCCTACAAGAGATTAGAGAACTACTTTCTCTTAGATTTAATGCTACATCGTAACTTTGCGCACGAGGTGCGAAAGGAAGATTATTCTGTCTCTGATTATTTATGAGAATTCGGAGTCTCGTGGAAACTTCGCCGGTCGAGAAGAGTCGTAGACTAGGGACGGGCGTAACTGCGACCTTCATTGCTCCGAGGCTGCTGAGAAAAATTTTCACGGTGCCGTCGTAACAAGGAAAGGGATGTAAAAATTTATAACACTTACGTTTAGCCTTGCGAATATTGTTTATAGCGAGATTGAAAGCAAACGAGGAATGTAATATTATAGTCTTGTAGCCTTTCAAACTTTGATAATTGCCAGAAAATTTTTTTATATTATTTCTCAATAATGATCATTTATTTACGGTAATTAGATTTGATACATATTCTGCACAGTAGAGTTTAGAATTTATCGTCGGTAGTTATCTGCAAAACATGCAATTTGCGTTCTCATGTCTCTCTCGATTAGTCGTTTAACGGAACAGCTTTTTGCTCCCAGTTCTTTCCTCATAATGTTTTTGCGAACAAATCATAAATATCACTTAATCATGCGTTTTTATTCAGATAGAACTTAGTTTACAAGTAGATAGGATCAACTGTATGCAACGACTTGTGTCTTACAGATAACTAACGACCCAGAGGAAGTGAACGTCTTCCTCGTAGATGGCTCGTTGATCGACGAGGAATACTTCCACACGCTGGAACCACAGACTACTCTGATTCTGCAGCAGCCAGGAGAGAAGGTGTTGTCTGGTTGGTATACGACGACATAATATAGATATATAAAACATGCACACACACGAGAACACACTTGCATGTGCGGTGTCCCGAAAACTAGAACAAGTAATGTGGTTAGAACGATGATGGAAAGGAGATATCACATGCTCGGTTATCGGACGCTGTATCTCCAATCTTCGAGATGACGTTAACCGTTTCAATTTCAGCTAACACAGCGTATCGCTCGCATCCAATTTCTCCATTTTCAGTCGATCAATGGCGCGGGTTCGTGACACTGTACAAAGGTCGCGTCACTGCTTCTATTCCGCGCTTTTATTCTCGTTGCCCTCGGCGTCGCCGCCGTTGCCGCCGCCGCATCGTCGTTTTGCGCGCATTTGTCATTCGTTACCGTCGTAGCTCCTAAAAGTACTTCCGAGACACATCGCTCCAGAAATTCCGCGCAAGTTTATCGTGCTACAATAACGAATATGCACTGCGAGCGACTTGGTCGAGCGCCAAAGTTAAATATTCCGGGCAGTGTCAGTATATATCTCGAAGTTCGCGAACTTCCTGGCAACGCCAAGCGCGCGCCTCGGGGGAACGTGGATCGCTCGCTTCCCCCGACGGGCGCGAGGGCGACGTGCAATTTTCTCCATTCCCTTTTTTCCTTCCTTTTTCTCAAGGACAAACGATTTCCCGCAGACGCGGACATCCTGTACGATGCGCTGAGACGCGTGAACATTGATTTCCTCGTCGCCGGCGACAGAGTGGCGCAATTCCTGACGGAAAATCTCAAGGCGAAAGTCGCCGTGTTGAACAGCGTGTTGAACAAGGACGATACCAAGACAGCACTCAGCACGAGAAACGAGCATCCGGAGTGGTTTGCAGATTTGGAAACCAATTACGTAACTAAAGTGAGTTGAAAAGGGATCATGGTCCGTCTCGCGCGACTCCTCTTACGATCTAAGTGGTTTAACCAAATAACAAGCTGATACGTTGTCGGTGTTAAAGTGGGAAATTTTCGAATATTATTTGATAGATAACGTTGATAATACTTGTATGTATCAAGTTGGTGCAAAAAGAATAAAATGGATAACGAAATTATCTAATTTCGAAGGATTAATAATTTACGAATGGAACGACGAGCAACACCGAATTTTGGTATCTTTTTTAAACATTTAATCTGCGACAGCTTTCTCTTTTCCTTTCAATACTCAAACTTCGAGAGTTTGGATATTGAAACGAGAATTTCACAGAGAAATAATAAATCTTTTGCATCAATCCAATAGTATGTGACAATCAATCCGATTCTGTAAGCAATATCCGCTTCATGCTTTTCTTTCTTCTTATGGATTTTAGAATATTTAAAAAGTCTCGGTCTTTCACTCATGCAGGAAGCGTACATGCACCGCAGATGTCAGGACAGAATACGCGGTTACCTCTACAAAACGATCGAGCAGATCAAGTGCTCGGACGTGTACATGAACGATCGCAAGGCGAGGCAACAGCTCTTACGCGCGATCGCGTTCTTCAAGATCCAGCTTAAGGAAGATCATTATTTCGGGTACTACTTCGACAGGAGCAGAGCGAATACTGACTCTACGGACGACGAGACCGATGAGACCGATGCTACGAACCTATGTTATGAGCATTGTCCTTGTATGCTCGGTCATATCAGCAACGAGAGGTATCTCCAATCGCCGGCTACGGACGCAACCGAATCAGCTAAGATTGAGGATGAGACGGACGCGAGGCAGCTCAAAAAGCCCGCGAAGGCCGAGGCGAATGACGAAGAGCCGGAGAGCTGCCCTTATCGCGTGAAACCGCGAAGCAGAGAGGAGCAAGTCGCCATTTGCGACAACATGGGCGAATTCCGCTGTGAGGGACGGTGGAACATGGACGGCTGCGCCTACGGCGACAGACACAAGATCAATCCGTACAGGTCCAAAGAGGAACTCGTCTTATTTTCTACGTGGAATTTGGATCACAAGTAAGACAACAAACGACAATCAAAACGTCTCGGTTGTCGATATGAGTTCTTATCAACAATCCTAATTCAGTCCTGGCTACTGCCGTCGTATAGCGTTTGATAAGTAATCCAGAATTATAAACGCGCGACGGGATTTGCTTAAAAATTGAACGAAGTATTTTCGTGTGCTGCGCGCCTTTTACTGAAGCAGTTATAATTATATGAAAGTTAATAACGAGGTGAAAAGATGCACATTCAGTTTTCGCTAATCAATTAAAATTAACAATCAAGCCAAAAAATTTAATTAATGCATCCGCGACCGTAGATATTGTACTGGATCTCCTGCGTTACGTCACGGCTGCGAATGTGTTAACTGAAAGAAAAAGGCAAGAGATATATATCCCTCGACATCTTTACATATTTTTTACGCAAGTTTTGTCCATTTGCTGTGTAATTTTGAGAGGCTCGCGAGCCTCAGAAAATATTCGTAATCATATATTACGCGCTATTATTCTTTAGTGTAACGCAGCGAAATGTTACGTGCGACCGACAAAGAGACTCCGACTAAACGAAGCAGCAGAAATCGTTTAAAGGATTAAGTAGCTACGATAGATATGCATGGAATTTTATGTATGGCATTCGGTAATCGTTTCATAATGCTTGCAGGATTGAGAGGTCAAGAACGCTCGTTCCGAAATTACTGCAAATCTCGCTGCAGGACACAATCAATGAGAAGGAAATCTACGACTGTTACGACAATCTGTTCACGGTGAAGAATTTGAAACTAGTCCATATCGTGTGCCACGATAAAGGTACGCACAAATAAGCGGCGGCGCGAAAAGGTATAATAGACAGATGAAAAGGATGCCAAAGAGTAATCGTAAACGTGGGAGATGATGTATCCAGATACGTAATACGTAGAGCGACTACTCATACATGGATCTTTACGGACAAGTACGTTTAAGCGCTGTTGATAGACCATAGATTTAGCGATTGTTAATGTTACATTCGGGTGTACTTCCGTTGCGGCATACGAAACATTAAGCAATAATGTTAGCGGCGAAAACTTCGTCGAAGGCTTCAGACATACAACTTTACGTCGACTTCGCTCGCGACAGGTAGAACAATCAGTTTCTCGAGCGAAGGATGCTGACACATTATAGTAGAGAGAGTAAGAGAGATAAACTTGACATTGACATTCCGTTCATTATTTTATGCGACGCGAGAGAAAGACCTATTCATCAGCGTGGAAGGCATCGGAAACTTTCGAGGTCGCATCGGCTAAGCGCGATTACACTCGGTTTGAAATATCATTTCACGAACGTCAAGAGGAGCGCATCTAAGAATGTGCGTGCAAAAGAGAAGAATGGCGTTTGCCGTGAAATTGAACAGGGAATGAGAAGACACGGAAGCTCTCGCGTAGACGTCGCATCGAATAATCCCTCGAATGATATCTCAATCGTGCACGATTCTTTCTTCTTCAAGTTCAATACGTTTCTGACCTCTTTGACAAGAAAATATTTTAAAATTCAACACGCACTCTGATCTCTCGGAGAAAAAAAAAGCTTTACGTCGAATGACCTCTGTGGAAGTTGTTTGCGTGAAACAATTACGAATACAGGGTTGCATAAGTCGCACGCAATGGAAGGACCCTAATTTATCCTGGTGGCCGAAAGCCGCCGAAAGAAATCTGTTGTTTTCAGATACGTCGTTGAGCGCCGAGTAAGCTCGGTGCTGATAGGTAAGACCGAACTAACCTGATCTGATCCGAAACTATAGGAGAGCTCTTCATGCGAAAGGAAAAGGAACGTGAGGTAGAATATCTTTCAGACATATTTTTATTCCGACTGCTCTCGATATACATATAAGAGAAAAAACAAAGTTCTGATATATACACACACATATATATATACATATATACAATATATATAAATATATATATATACATATGTCTACCAAAAAAATTTAGAGCAAGATATGTATATATATACGATATTATTCCTATATAGGTACAGGTCGTTTCAAGTTTTCCGCAATTCCTTACGTCGAACGTCTTATCAATTCGAAATGCAATGTTCCTGTCTTGAGGCTGAGTTGAAAAGAAATTACATTATTCGTATTCGTTTTCAATGTGAAAGGAAATGTGGAAATCCTGCAACAGTCTGTGCACATGTTATATATTGGGTGACGTTTTAGGAATTCTCGCCATGCACGAAATGGTGTTTCTTCCGACGTGAGAGATGATTTAACTAAAAAGGTGTGGCACGAAAGTACCCGATTAATATCACTGATTTCGTTTACTTTCAAGGTTACTATCTACGTTCATTTGTATCCAATGTAATGACGATTATTCTCGTAATTACATCTGCGCGACGCGCCATTTTTACAATCACATATACATACGCAACTGCGAGTCGAGCGAGCGTTAATCATCAATGTGAGTAATACAGAGACTGGTGTTTTAAGAATCTTACGTAACTCGATATAAAGTAATTTTTTATACTTTATATGTGATACGTATCGCGTGCAAGACTTTTCTCCCTATCAGTGGATGAGATTACCGTTAAATAATTTTCTCGCTGAATAGATATGTTATGTTCGTTGATCAGGTATCCGGTATAATTCCGCGTTTATCTGTTTGAAGCGCGTCCTTGCTTCTGTTGTTCAACTCTTTGTTGCATAAATTCTTTTGTTGAAAATATTTTTTTGCCGAATTCTTTTGTCGAACACATATTTTGCTGAAAGCGGAAAGTCTTAGGAACATAATGGTACCGATTATGTGTTACCAATTATAAAACAAAAAGCATAGAAACGTAAAAGCCTAGAAAAATTACGAAGAAATAGGTGTCCCATATACGGAACAATATGCAACAAAGGGTTAACGAGGAGGGTTATTCACTCTTAATCTGCAAGACTGTTTTTCACAATTGATCACGTAGCTGCGCCTATTGATTTGATCTTATCGTTGATTGTTAGTGAAACTGATGACAAAGCGTGTCATCCTCGAGTATTCACATAGCCGATAAGTTACGTGACTATATTTTTAGACGAACGAGGAATCGCGTTATGAATATGTTCGATAAACCTCCACAAGTTGTGCCAAAGCGACGTATATTTTTTTATCACTTTTATTGATAGAGTGCTGTATAGCCAATCTAATAACTGGCTTGTTATTTTCAATAAGATTGCAATCAATTGGTCGCGCCAACGTGTGGTTCGGCGGAGTTTTCATTCGTTACACGAGCGACGTGTACGCCAGCGAAAATCAGTGTTATCCTCGAGATGACGGTGACGTTATCACTTCTGTCGGTGTGTGTTGCGTTTTTGTGTGCGTGCGTGCGTGCGTGCGTGCGTGCGTGTGTGTGTGTGTGTGTGTGTGTGTGTGCGCCGAAGGACTATATTTGTGATAAGGAAACGAGGCTCTACATATAAAACTGATTTTCCTTTGCGGCGGGAATATCTTACGTGAGACGGATCGTTGACTTTTTACATACCTGTATATACAATGACTGATACAACTGTAATGATTTTTTTCTCACCTCTCGAATTGTTGATATTAAACGTTGATTCGGAGCGGACGTGCTCGAAGTTAGATTCATCCGCAGGAAGAATGACAAGCAACGTTCCTTTGCAACAGCAATAGACATCTTCCTCCATCTCTCATTCCTGCTGGGCATCGGAGATTCGTGTTTTTCCTCTCCCGAAACGCGCAAATGACAGCGAGAGATATTTTAACGCATTTAACTGAATATATGTGTATCTCGACACTTGAATACGTTATCGTGTGTATACATACGTTGCATACGTCGTTGTACATACATTGTTGCTAGAGGAGAGGCTAGCGCGTCACGTCCGTGTCTAATTTCCTAATCTTCGTTTTTGGGAGAATGATGCGAAGCAGGCCTTTCATCATGCGTGTGATAAAGAGATGAAGTATTTTTATTGAGAAAAGTAGGATCTCCGCGTCCATTCCCGTCGTCGCATGCTGTGTATCGGCGTACATTTTAAGAGGGAAACTACACAGAAGTGCAATACCTCTATGTAGGTCACGCGTGTAAGAGTATAGTATTTTTCAATGTACAAGAACTGTGTATAGCTCCACTTTAGAAAAATATATTTTAGGTACGAGACACGCGCGAAAGGTGCCTATTATGTTCCCCACGATCTTATTGGACATCGACCCTGTTTCTGAAAAATCTTTTCCTTAAAAATATATGTCCGGCTCCGATAAGCTATAAATATTGTAACCTAGTTGGCAAGATAAATAACACCGCTGTTGCGCAGCTATATCGCGCCGGATGAATACTTCATTGAAACTCGCGCTTTGAATACGTCATTGGTCAATTATTCGAAAGCTTCCTCGCCGACGAATTATTCGTTCCGTTTTGGTAACCGATAAATAAGACAGCGGAGAGTCGTTCAAACATATTTCAAGGCAAGAATTGCCAGAGATTCATTTGTGCTAGAATTAACTCTCACAGATTCATTTGTGCTAGAATTAAAAGAGGTTACCTGTTCTCTCCCTCTTTCTTTGAATATATTCTTGGCTGTTGGACGCAGCAGGGAAGGTTTTTTCGAAGATGAATGCGCATAATGAAGAGCCGACTGACTTGAAGCTATATTCGATCTTGCTCCTATTTTCATCAAAGTTCGCGCTTCCAAAATTCGCGCTTTTATTCGTCGCGGGGCGTTTGTACGCTGTAGCATACGTGGAAATAAAAGCACGGTAAAAATTTTATCTGTCATCTCGGCATAGCATCGCGCGTAGAATATGATACGTGATTTCCGTGCCATTCTGCGTGTCATTCTCGGGAAGGTGTCGTAAAAAGTTTATGGATACGTCGAACACACGTTACACTCCTAGGCGGCATCAGATCACGGAGAGTTAAACGTTATTTTTTTGTCGACAGAAAAACGTACCGTCGCGGCGGGATCACGGCAAGCCGTGCGAGCGTCGTTGTTACGGATTGCTGTAAAACATGTCGATATTCGCGAGAGGTGCGAATTTCCCTTGGAAAATCTGAATAACAATTAGACGCTTTCCGGCACAGCGGGCATGATAATTCGTTATTAAATTTATACCGCCGGCTTCCCCTCTCTTCCGTTCGTTCGGCTCGATTATATCGCGCAGCGCGCTATCCGAGATGAATAATAACAAAATGGAAGAACGACGAGAAAATTGAAAGTCGATGGCGGAGCGCGCGCTATCCTACTCGGGCCTTCTCTATTTTTATCAAGCGTTTTTAATTTCGGCGCCGCGCTCTTGTAACAATATGCGAGGGGCGCGCGATAATAATTCTATCGCGAACTCAATGACCGAATGAATTTTTAATTTTTGCCTGCACCCGCGTTCATCCCCCTCTACTCCTCACCGGCCCCTTCAATTCATATATATTGTAGCCGAGATTATTTTCATTATTTTCCATTTTCTCTCTCTCTCTCTCTCTCTCTCTCTCTCTTTCTCTCTTTCTCTCCACGTCGGGACGACGAGAGTCGTCGACAGAGCTGGCTGAAAAAATACAACGATAGAGAGACGGGAGGGAAGAAATGACAGGGAGAAAATTAAGGGCGCGGGCACTTTGTTGAATTTACTCGAGATTAATTATTTTTCTTGCCGTCCGTTAATAATTAATCGGACCCTTTGTCCGGCCGACAGTGGGTGATTTGCTTTCGCGCTATTTCGTAAGAAAAACCAACTCGTTTCGCAACGGGAGCTTATTTCAAGCGCGACCGGTTCGAATGGTGATTTTTAATTGAATTTCGCGTCGCGTATCAGTTCGCGCTCGCGGTGCATGCATGCATGCATGCATGTATGCGCGTGTGTCCGCTCTATTATCGCGCGCCCGCACGTAATATATGCATGTCTCGGACAAATGAAGTTCTTACATTTCATTAATTAAACCGATTATTCAAATTAATTCGATCAATTCGCGGAAATTATCGTGAAAACTAACTGACGCTATCTGACGAACTAATTCCGCCTGCCAGAGGACAAAAAGCGACACGAGAGCAATAATAAATGATGCGAATAATAAATGGATCCTCAATTAATCGAGCGGGTTAAATGAATAGCGTGGACGCGCGCAGAGAGAGAGAGAGAGAGAGAGAGAGAGAGAGAGAGAGAGAGAGAGAGAGAGAGA